TAATTGAAATCATACAAGAAACAAGAAAAAGTTTGGCTATTGCCAGGCCAATTTTATGTATTTATTAATTTATGTTCAAGGATAATATATATACTTTACAACGAGTTCGTTATACATTATAATAAGATCCACTATTTATGTGAGTCGAATTACTTATTTTTAAACCGTAGTGTTAGTGACACGACCAATTTGTTTTTAAATCATTGATTTTGATGAAAGAGTAAACATTGACCCTTATAGTTTTTGACACTCCAAAATAAATTAAATATTTACATTTCTACCCTCACCAATCGCATTGGGACGAGGTCAGATGCTAAACTAAGAGTGTGAATAAATTGGACGTTAATTATTTATGAATGAAGTGTTGACTGTTTTCCGATACTACCGATACTAGTGATAATGGAAAAAAAGCTTTCAAACTCAGAACCACAACTATATAATATAAAATCAGCTGAACTACAAGACACTAAATCAAAATAAGACCTTGAAAATATGATTATTTTGGTAATTTTAACGAAAAGCTCTCGGTACTATTTACTTTAACGAAAAACCACATTTTTACACTAAAAAATCAATTCTGATACTATTCATTTTACCATTTATTTTGACCTTATCGTTAAAACTCAAAGTTTTCGAGCATTTTTCATTAGTTTTGCTTATATTTTTCTCTAAAAGAAAATTATAATATACTGACACGAAATGACCAAAAAGCAGTTCAGCGGGCAGGATGATACTTACAATGTAAATGCATTTTCCCAACGGTCAACCAGCAACATTGTCCACATCTTGAGGTTAAATTTATTAGACTAGTTTACAAGAATCACTTAATTTAATGCATCACAGACGGACGGCTCTGGCGAATTACATCACAGTAAGAATCCACCACCTTCTCCCTCTCCCCTCCTTCCTACCACCAACACCAACAGCAACGTCAAAGGCAGGTCCTTTTCTTTTTCTTCTTTTCTTTTTTCTCCCAGCAAATTTCAATCAATTGTAACAAAGCAGCAGTTTTGGGTTTTTGACATTTCCAGCCTCTTCAGCCGCATCCGAGAGTAAATTCAGGTGCTTTTTTTTCTGCTTTTTTTTCTAATCAGCTAAGCCACTTATAGGTTCATAGTACTGGTTTGTGTAGAGAATTTTTAGATGTTGGGTTTTGGAGTTTGACTGGATTTTTGTACAAGTTTGTGGATTTTATGATTTGGGTTTCAAGCAATTCAGTGAAAGTTTGGAACTTTTGGTGGTTTGAGGTCTTGGGTTTGGTTTTTGGGATAGTATACCAGCTGGGATTTCTGTAGAGCTTCTAAATGTTAGGGTTTTGAGTTGAGTGGATTTTCAAATGGGTTTGTGGTTTTTGTGAATTGGGTTTCAAGTAATTCAGTGAATGTTTGGAACTTTTGTTTGTTTGAGGTCTTGGGATAGTATACCAGCTGGGATTTCTGTAGAGATTCTCAGTGTTAGGTTTTTGAGTTGGGTGGATTTTCATATGAGTTTGTAGTTTCTTAATTGGGTTTCAAGTGATTCAGTGAAAGTTTGGGACTTTTGGTGGTTTGAGGTGTTGGGTTCAAATCACATACTTATCCAATTTCCTGTTGCGAGTTGAGTATTAAAGGCTTTGGGTGAATTCGTGGACACATCAAGAAATCGAATTCTCTAATGGGGAACTATGTGAATATATGTAACTCAAATTTCATCCATTTTGTCTGTTGAGGATTTCAACCAGTCTGTAACGAATAGAGGCTCAAATTACTCATTTCAGTCACTGTAAACTGGCTTATTTGGAGCAATCTGAAGTCCTAAACTACCAGTAACAATACTGGCGGAAACGAAAACTGTCAGTAACTTTGATCAGTCTTGTTTTTGGGGATCTCTCTGTAACTGGGTTTTGTAAACTTTGTTGAATTCGAAAGTGCTGTCCAAACGCTAAAATTAATCGGCTATGGAATTTCTGTATTGGTTGGTTGAACTACTCAAGGTGTGTTGAGGATCCAAAAGGTCTGTGATTTTGTGCATATTATCATCTTTCGGCTTTTCTTGGTGGTGATTTGAAGAACAGAACAAACAGAGAGGTTTCATCATCTTGTAACTCCTAAATGGGAGTTGGGCAGATTACCCCGTTTAGAATGGGCATCGCAGTGTTAAGTCTGTTGCTGCAATTGCCAGCAATCTTTGCATCCGAGTTTGTCATACAGTCAAAGGATTGTAGTGATCACATTGCCTATTCAAGCTCTCATGGTCATGAATTGTTTTACATAAACGGGAATTCAGTAGAGAAAACTATATTCTGCACAGCTCTTCGGACATACTATGCAAATGGTTGCATTTTAGAAGGCAACCTTGGAAGTTACCATTGTCTATCAGACCCTTCACTAGGTATGCATTAATATGATATGTTGCTCGGTTTCTTGTTTAAATGATGCTTTTTGGAGTTTAATTTAATTAAGTATTGCTGCTTTTGCAGTTGATTTTACCTTGAGGACCGGGAGGAAACTTCTGCAGAAGGAGTCAAAGGATAAATCCACTTTCGACAACAGAGAGGAAAAAAATGATTTTGCTTCTATGTCTACAACGACAAGGGTTGGAATAGCAGCAAGTGGAATGTTTCTCACGTGTTGTGCTTTTCTATGTCCTTGCTTTTTTAAGAAAAGGAGAGATAGCGTGCACGGAGTTCTTGCAAGGGAGCCAAATTCAAGTGAGTGTCTTGCATCAACCCTTCTGTCGACTATTCGGCAAACAAATTGCATTTCTATTGGTTTACCTACCTTCTATCGGTTTCCACACTATGACTTTTCTTTCTTTTGTATTTTGTTATTTAAGCTAAATTGATTATCCTTTTGCAGTGGATTCAGGTTTTTCTTTTGAGGTGAGTTCTTCAGATCCTGAAAAGATCCTGGCCAGTCCGCATCGTGTGCCCCCTAGTCCACATCATGTGCCCCCTAGTCCACATCGTGTGCCACCTAGTCCTAGATTTTCAATGTCTCCAAAGCCCGGTAAAATTGGATCAGTACATCTCAGTTTGAATCAGATTGCAAAAGTAACTCGCAACTTCTCTCAATCGCAACAAGTAGGTGAAGGAGGTTTTGGAACTGTGTACAAGGCTCGGTTAGATGATGGCCAAGTGGTTTCTATTAAACGTGCAAAGAAGGTATGAACAGTTCATAACGTTGAAATATTTCTATCGAACATTTGAGTAGATTTTTAAGGAAGTTTTTATCTCATGTCCGTGATTCAATCAATTGACTGCTACTTTGTGTGACATGGAAACTTTGTAATAGGAACACTTTGAGAATTTGCAAACTGAATTCGGCAGTGAAGTTGAACTGCTTGCCAAAATTGATCATAGGAATCTTGTAAAGCTACTAGGTTATGTTGATGAAGGAAATGAGCGTCTTATCATTACAGAGTATGTGGCGAATGGTACTCTTAGAGAACATCTGGATTGTAAGCTTACTTAAATCCTTTCATAACAATAGCTAGTTCTGATTTATAAAGTGATGAGATCGTAAATAATTATGCTGCTACACTGGCAGGTCTGCATGGGAAAATCCTAGAGTTCAACCAGCGACTTGAAATTGCTATCGATGTTGCTCATGCCCTTACCTATCTTCACACATATTCTGGTAACAAAACTCTTCATTTAATACATGCATCACAGTTTTCTATTTAAGTTATATCTTTCTGGATGCGGATGAAAATTGATTTCGATTTGTCAACCTGGTTGATGCCTAATCCGTTATTCATCTCACAACAGAAAAACAAATCATCCATCGAGATGTGAAGTCCTCCAACATTCTTCTCACAGAAAGCATGAGAGCCAAAGTGGCAGATTTTGGATTTGCAAGGCTTGGCCCGGTGGACACAGATCAAACACACATTTCAACCAAAGTGAAAGGAACTGTCGGTTATCTTGACCCTGAGTATATGAAAACCTATCAACTCACCCCGAAAAGTGATGTTTACTCGTTCGGGATCTTACTAATAGAAATTTTGACTGGCCGTCGTCCAGTGGAGTTGAAGAGACCTGTTGAAGAGCGGGTAACACTCAGATGGGTAAGTATAGTCAATATTCAACGAGATAAAATCACTAATTATAATATGCGGTATTACATGATTAGCATTATTGTTACAAAATGATTGCGAATGAGCTCTTAGTTGTGTCATTTGCTCGATAATGTCTTTGAACCAGATTAAATTCGAACTGTAATTATATCCGGTTTCAACATTTCGCAGGCCTTCAAGAAGTTGAATGAAGGGAAGGTGGTGGAATTGGCTGATCCTTTTATGGAGGAAACTATAGATGCAGAGGTTCTGATGAAAATCTTTGATCTGGCGATCCAATGTGCAGCCCCCATCCGAGTTGATAGACCGGACATGAAATCGGTGGGAGCAGTTGTGGACAATAAGGGCGGACTACCTTAGAAGTGTCAAGGCAAGGGCACAGTAATAACACTATATTGTGTGGTTTCGTGCTGATAATACAAAGATATCTGTAAACTTTTGTACATATGACGTTTGTATCATTAACACGGATGCCTGTGCCATAAGTTGCTGTCCTGCTCGAGGGCTGCAGCCGCTAAAGCTCTTCAGACCGGAAACCCCATGACCCTTTTGTGCTATATTCCTTCTGTTGGCTGGGTACTTCAACCAGAAACATCGTTGAGCGGCTCGGCAGGGATATAACCTTTGTACAATACTGAATTAAAAGACAAAATTTAGGTATGTGAACGGTGAATGTTTCGATCATCCCTCAAGATCTAAATTTCATGGCCTAAAATGTATTAATTGTTATGGAATGGTTTTAACTCTTAACTCTTTTTTTTTTTTCTCGGTAATAATTTCTTTTGTAACTTAATACCGATCCTAAATGAATTGGGTATATATAGAGTTTGAAATTATTTTTTAAAAGTGGATTTGTTTTTAAAAAATTCTCTTATTATTTTGACTGTTAGATTTAAATTTTAATTGCGAAAGTTTTTTACTATAGAATTTGAAAAAAAAAAAAAAAAAAAAAAAAAAAAAAGGAGTGTTAGATCATAATCAAAAGTTTACAAACAAAACAAAGGCATTGTAATCTAGACGGGTGATCACCAATAGACCAGAAAAACGACTCCCTTTTGTTCAAATGTCACTCTCACTGCTGGACAGCTAGGGTTCCTTGTCAAATGGGGCCTAATTGTTGGCCACTACCAAAGTTTATTAAAATGCGAGCATGATTGACATTATTGGTATCAAGAAGTACAGTGTGAGAGAAATCTTACTCTAACCAAGTAAAGTTGAATTTGATGTTTCACAATTATGGCACTGGAGTTTATTGGTGGAACACTGTTTACGCTGCTCTACGATGGCGTCAAGCATGCGATGAGCAAGAGTGGGACGTTTAAAACCCTTCTCGGAGGCCTCAAATCCACGCTAGACTCTTTAGAACCAAGAGACATCCAACAGATTGGAGAGCATAACGTCGAATTGGGTCTCCCAAACGAGGAAATTGAAAGTCTTCAAATGCAAATGGAGGATGGTGTGAAGCTTGTTGGCAAGTTGTCCAACTTTCGCATGTGGAACTACTGCTGCTTGGATGATTACGCTCAACAAATTGTTGAGTTGGATAGGGCTCTTAAAAGATTGTTAATAAAATTGAAGATGCAGGAAGCAAGGATGTGAAGGAGGTCTTGGTTTTGTCGAGGCAAAACCGGGACAAACCTGATGAAGTCAATAGAAGATTGTTGGATATACGGAAGTTACTGCAGCAGAGAGCGGGGGATGCCGTGGAAGACTTCAGAATACCCCCACCCGAGTTGATAGGCCGGACATGAAATCGGTGGAAGAGCAGTTGTGGACAATAAGGGGAGACTACCTTAGAAGTGTCAAGAGAGGGCAGTAGTATAAATAATGTGAGAGACATCTTCCCCCTTATTCGACCTTAAAAATCTACTCAGATGGGTAAGTACAGTCAATATTCAACGAAATAAAATCAATAATTATAATACGCGGTATTATATGATTAGCATTATTGTTACAAAATGATTGCGAATGAGCTCTTGGTTGTGTCATTTGCTCGGTAATGTCTTTGAACCAGATTAAATTCGAACTGTAACAATTATATCCAGTTTCAACATTTCGCAGGCCTCCAAGAAGTTGAATGAAGGGAAGGTGGCGGAATTGGTTGATCCTTTGATGAAGGAAACTATAGACGCAGAGGTTCTGATGAAAATCTTCCATTTGGCGTTCCACTGTGCAGCCCCCACCCGAGTTGATCGGCCGGTCATGACATCGGTGGGAGAGCGGTTGTGGACAATAAGGGGGGACAACCTTAGAAAGTGTCAAGAGAGGGCAGTAGTATAAATAATGTGAGAGACATCTTCCCCCTTATTGGACCTTACCCTGTAAAAAAAATTTGGTCACAAGACACGAGTTTGCTTTTCAGTTTGGCCATTTTTTTTACGCGAAATCATTTTGCAACCTTGAAAGCAAACACATCTGTATTTAAATGTTTGGCATGATTTTCCAGTGTGCTTATGTGTAGCTGTAATTTTTAGTTGTTTGAGTGTTTGTTATTGTTCCCAACTTAATCACCTGCGCCCAATACCCTCGGGTGGTATAGTGCTCAATGGGTCTCAAGTATGAAATTTTATCACTAAAGTCCAATGTTTTGTCTCCAAATGTGGGGATTCTCTTTCAACTTTGATATGTAAACTTAATGTAATACTAATCACGAACTTAAATGAAAACATGAACTGTCTTTGAATTAAATATGATGAATGCACCATCTAATAATTATACGAGACCAGATTTGGTGTCAGACCCAACCCAATGATGGACAGAGGCGGAGCCATGAAGGGATTGACATTTTTGTCACGCAGAAAACTTTTGTGTTATGCTTATGATTTCCACAGTTTTGTTGTAGGTTAAGAGCCCCCAATCTAATATTTTTTTACTTAATTTCTTTCATCGAAGTTGATTTGAGGTTGGTGGCTCCTATGGAGTTCAAATAATCCATTGATTGTGAGTTTTGAGGACTCTAGTGTAGAAGGAGAGAGGAAGAAAGTCATAGAGGCTTGGAGTTTAGATTTAAGAAAGAGGATGACGTGGACGACACAATACCATTCCCAAACAACGGTGGTCATATGCTCACCACATGGCAGAGTAATTTTTTGTAAGATGAGAAGAACGTTTTGAATTGAGACTTTTGGGCCCTTTCTAAGTTAAAATCTTAGTTCCGCCACTAAAGTTGTATGCGTGTGACGTGGTTCAAATTTCAACTTTGAAGTAGGCTTACATAGTAGGATTTCTGCATAGCATTATATGTTATGGTTCGAGTGGATTTTTAAGGAAGTTTTAATTCTCATGTCTCGATGTAGATGCTATATAGTTGGTTCTCATCCCTCAGAGTACGAGTGTAATAGGAGCATCCGTCGACAAAAAGACCACCCTAAGATGATCATCTCATGGCTATTAAATGATTGCTATTTGTTTAACATGGAAACGTATCAACTCACCACCAAAAGTGATGCTTACTCGTTCGGGATCTTACTCATAAAAATTTTGACTGGCCGTCGTCCAATGGAGTCGAATGGATCTGTTGAATAGCGGGTGACACTCAGATGGGTAAGCTGCACCACTAAGATATATTGAGACGTGATATTACAACTTCAACGAGATAAATCAATAATTATATTGCTTTGGTATCAAAATGCGTATGATAAACATTATTGGTGTCCGGTTTTGACATTCCACGGGTATTCAAGAAGTTTAATAAAGGAAAGGTGATAGAATTGATTGATCCTTCAATTAAGGAAGTTGTAGAGGCAGAGCTACTCGTGAAATTTTTTGATTTGGCCTTCCAATGCGCTGCCCCCATCGGAGCTGAACGGCCGAACATGAACTCAGTGAGAGTGCAGTTACAGAATATAATGGAAGACTCCTTAGAAGTGTCAAGAGAGGGTAGTATATACCTCGTGCTGCATTCAACTTACCATGTAAAATTGAATTTGATAGAGACTCGCAGACACTAGTTTGCTTTTCATTTTGACCATTTTGTCAACATCCTTTTCACCCTCGAACGTATGTTGAATGTTAAATGTGTACTTTTCTCAATATCTTTGTCCGTCACACTGAAAAACTACTACGCATCGTGCGGCCAAAAAACCAAACGCATTTACATTTAAATGGTTACAACCAAATCGTGTATAACAATCGAGGCAAATTCAGACCTAGTTCCACTTTTTCCATTTTATTGCGATTTTTCACATGATTTTAAGTACCGGCAGGGGCTGTGTAGCTGTAATTTTTATTTTTTAGTATCGAGTGCGGGATCAACCATTTAGTTTGGAAAGTTAACATGAAGTTAAACTGTTAAGAGCCAGGAGACCATCTTAATTGAAGGACTAAAAAACTAAAGTATATATAGCATTTTACACAGCGAAAAAATACTTTCATCAGAGAGAAAATACCACCTTTCCTGGTTTATCATGGTATCTAACTAAACTCTATCTATATTCCGACAATGTAAGCTACTGCCCTTTACTCTGGAGTCCATGAAGAAGTCGAAAAATAATGAGATACCGGACTTGTCGTGATTTCATACCATCGAGTGAAGATTATTTACAAGACCTTACTCTTCGGTGGGAACTGCAACGCTAGCTGAAAAAGCCCTAAAAGAGTTTAGACGGAGGTTGCAGCCGGAATCTTAATCTTTTCCACCTGCTCCTTACCAACATAGGGTGTAAGCTCAATATATGTTCTGGCATGAAGTCGTACCTCGTCAATATACCCACTATAGGAGATCTCTGCAAGCAGCGTAGATATTACAAGCAATTAGTAAGAAAACTGCAATAAGGATTATTTCAAGCTAGATGGATTGATAAATAATTAGCATAAGATGTGGAGATACCAATATATTTCAGGCGCCACAATGTGGAACTGATAGGTCAGAACACCATGTTTTTGTCATATAATGTTTGTGTCATTGACATAGATACCCGTGCCATAGGTTGCTTTCCCGCTCAAAGGCTGCAGCTGGTAAAGCAACTCGGCACGGGAACCCCAAGACCTTTTGTGCTATTTTCTTTATGTTGGCTGGGTAGCCTTAGATCCAAACCTAATATTTAGGTCTAATTTTTTCTTCGGTAAGAATTTTTTTAAAGTGGATACGTTTAAAAAATATATATTATTATATTATTTTGATCATTAAATTCAAATTTCAGCTGTTGAGTTTTTTATTTTTATTTACTGTTGAATTTGAAAAAACACAAATACAGACCGTTAGATCAAAATCAAATTACCAAAAGAGGCATTGTAATTTAGATTGTCGATCACGAACGGTCCAAAAATCGAACGGCTCCCTAGTCCAAATGTTATCTTTGGAGTTTGGACAGCTCCGTTTAGTCCATATGTTAACATTGGACAACTGGAGTCCCTTATCAAATGGGGCCTAGTTGTCGACCACTACCAAATTCCTCTGTCCGCTTTTGTATAAGCTGGGGCTCAACATTTGGGTCAGCCAAATAGAAACAAAAATTCGGATTTTATTTTGGGCTCGAAGCCAAATTTTAGGCGTCACCATTGGATTGCATTTTTTGGGTTGTTAATCCAAATATTTGAGTTTGGGTCTTGCGCTTGGAGTTGGTGAGTTGGTTAATTGTTCAACATTCAAAGAGGAGAAATTTCCGGCCAAAAATTCTCGACTGAATATTATAACTATATATTTAGTCAAATTAAAGAAACAAACTGTTTCGTCATAAAATTAATTAAAAATATAAATGTAATTCAATTTCTTATAAGTACAAGCAAGATCCCCTCTTATCAATGTGAGATTCATTCTTAACAAGCTCTTTTACGTGTGACAAATTTTCAAGACCAACACGTGCACAACACAACTTGGGTTATGTGAAGCACTTGTGGCTGTGTGGCTATTGAACTTCACACGTGGGACAACCTACTACTATGGTACAGTGAAGAAAGTTCGTGTTCCACCATAAAACCAATTGGCAATATAGGGAGTAGCCCAACCTCTTATAAGCACATGCAATGTCTCATCTAATCAATGTGAGATTCATTCTCAACACACCTCTAATCAATATGAGATTTATGTTGGAATTTATTAGGTTTATTTAGGAAATTAATTAGAGATTTGATTTGATTTTGTAGTAGGGTATTTTTGGCATTTACGCATTAGGATTTCTTAGGTTTATTGCTCTATAAATAGAGCTTGTAATTTAGTTTGAGAGTAAGTGAGTCACAATGTAGTCTCTAGGGTTTTTTGTAGCCGTCTCGGCATTCTCAGTTTGTTCAATAAAATTCTTATTATTTTGTTCGTCTTGTTCGTTCCGCACTCTGATGTTCAATTTGGTATCAGAGCGGGTTCGATCCTTATGATTCAATCCGTTCTTGTTGGTATCAATTTGTTTTGTCGCTTTTTGTTTTTTGGTTTAGTTTGGGTCTCGTTTAGGCTTTCGCTTCCGCTTTGGTTTGTGTCCTTTGTTCTTGGTCACTCTGTTTTTGTTCGTTTTGTCTTTGGATTTCGGTATTGACTGTCAAATCGTGGTAGTCTTGAAAAAAAAAAATAGAAAGAAAAACTGAACCGTCTGCACCCATTGCGGCACCGCAACTGCACTCTGACCTCTACCCGCATCACATCTATTCCTTCGTGATTTTTAAACAAAATGGGGAAGATCCAATTCGGAAGATAGAAGCAAAAATACGAGAAAAAAGGAAAGGAAAAAAAATTGGCTGTTTGTTTGAGACATGCGTGTTTTGCAGGTTTGTTCTGGTGAAAACCAATGCCCAGAAACAAAGGTTGAAGGGAAGGAGAAAAGAAAAGAAAAAAAAAAGAAAGACTGATGTTGGTGGTTCGCACAGAAGGAAAAAAAGGAAGGAAGAAGGAAGAAAAAAAAAAAAAAGAGGGGAAAAAAAGAGATTGGATTTTTTTGTTTTGCTGTTAGTTTAAGGCCCATGCGGGCAAAAGGAAAAAAAATATATTTGGTTGGATTTTTTGTTTGTTTGTTCGGCATTGGCATCGACATTTGCACTTGTACTGGCATTGGAATTTTGCACTGGCATGGAAATCTTGCACTGGCATTGGAATCTTGCACTGGCATTGGCATTGGAATCTTGCACTTGCACCGATGGAATTTTGTATTGAATTGGCATCGGAAGTTAGCATAACAAAGCTTGCATCCACATCGTCTGTTGGCAAACTCATGTCGTATACCGTCATGAGTTTGACGGGGGGTGTTGGAATTTATTAGGTTTATTTAGGAAATTAATTAGAGATTTGATTTGATTTTGTAGTAGGGTATTTTTGGCATTTACGCATTAGGGTTTCTTAGGTTTATTGCTCTATAAATAGAGCTTGTAATTTAGTTTGAGAGTAAGTGAGTCACAATGTAGTCTCTAGGGTTTTTTGTAGCCGTCTCGGCATTCTCAGTTTGTTCAATAAAATTCTTATTATTTTGTTCGTCTTGTTCGTTCCGCACTCTGATGTTCAATTATTTATTCTCAACACAAATACTTTCATCAGAGAGAAAAAACTAATGT